CACTTGTGCGTACAAGCGGTGGAGACTGTTCTCGCCGGCGGAGCTCTGCAGCCGATCGCGGCCGATTGTCTGAACCCTCCTAATACCCGGGAACCATCAGGAACCTTCCAGAAGAGCGCGTGGACTCAACCAGGTCAGTCCGTGGTTACCCAATCTCAGCCGTCCCATCTATGGAGCCGTCCGTTGCCAACGATCAACGGCGGTGCTCAGCAGAGAAGGATCCCGGCGGAGACGTCATCATCGGAGGTGTATGGAAGTTCTGAGAGTGTGTGGCGGGGCGTGAGAGACGCCGCCGGGAAAGAGCCAAAGCTTCTCAACCTCTTTTTTTGATTAGTTAAGGAATAAAGTCGCCGGCGCCGGAATCATCAGTTTTGGTATTGGAGTTTAAATTTTGGTGGACTCAGTGAGTCGGAATCGGCAAATATGATCTGAGTTCCTGCGTTTCTAACTATGTCGAGCGGATTAAAGTTATTTTTCCGCTCAATGAGTCATGAATAAACATTTATCCTAGCTATAATTATACTATTCCGAAACCAATTAGCTACATATATTACCATTCAAAAGATGGTACACTAACTCCCCATTTCTCATTATGATTATCATGATAATCATGCATATAAGAGTGTTCAACCATAAATATAGGAGTCTCGAATTCCATATCCATTAAACATGCATATAAATTTATCAAGAAATTTATCAAGAGATCTAAAATTAATCTAAATTATTCAAAAAAGTTAAAAAAAAATTAACCACACTTAGTGTGTCCATATTTTGCCCACCTTTTATGCACACGCCTAGTTGTCTGTCTACAAGACTCTTAGGAACGAATTGCATATGTAGATAGAGAACTATCGGGTATATACAAAATGTGTACAAAATATGTGTACCGACACCATTTGTGATGAATTTATAACTTTTTCATGAATAAAATTTGAGTCATCACACATTGATAAAAAGGTCTAAGATAGCAATTGAAGAACAATGCTACTATAGTAGTAGTATGGTTTAACTTTTGGCTTCTTCTTTTATGACTAAAATAAAAATCTATTACAAAAATGTGACTAGTGAAAAAATACTAATCGAATCATAGTAACTTATGTTTAATGATTAAACTTATAGTCATATTTGTCTAAAAAAATCCTTTTTTAATGAACTGCATGTATACCTACAAAATGTACGGGCATATGCAAAACATATTTAAATGGAGTGTTTACCAATATGTCCACTCTTTAGTTTCTCTTTTACACATCATTTCAGTTAAGTTTTATTTAAGCCATGGTAGACTTGACTAATTACACAATATTTCAGTGTTATTAGAGAAATATTGACTTGTGTCTAAATTAATTTTATTTTGACCTTGTTAAGATTGAAACGAATTAAACTATAAGAAACTTATACGGAGTACGATATAAAAAATTCACTCAGGTTATGATGGTAACAAAACAGGGTTGATCTAAATGAATGATGCAAAAAGCTAAGAATGGACCTCATTTAACTCATGTCGATATAATAACTATATGATATATGAAGAGTCCACATATGGGATGAGTCAGATTAGTGTCATGTATCTATCTTAAATTCTTAATCCAAAGGAGGCATTGCTTTAAAGACAAACATTTATGCCTGTGTGTATTTTTTATTATAAATTACAAATCTATACTATAAAACTTTTGGTAAACATTTATTTCAGCTAAATAAATAAGTTAGAAATCACAATTACCACGGTGTCTTTTCCATAATCTTTTGTGTTAATTATTTTCACTACAAAAAAAATGGGATTAACACGAATTTGATATAGATAGATTGATGATTTCATGTCAAATATGTAGTAGCTCGTATCAAAGTGGTTTTGGTACGGATTTGACACCTCCCGGCCAAATCCTTGAATATTATTGGCGAACCCTGTGTTAATTCTGTGTTTTTGTGAAGTGTTTGATAAATCTAATTTATATTAGTATAAAATCGCTGTCATCAACCTAACTCGTTAAAATCAAGGTGCTAATAATGTTGTAATGATGGTACTTAGGGAATATTTAAGTTGAGCTAGATTTTGTTTCCCTTAATCCTTCCTGCATAAAAAAATGCTTTGTAAAGAGAAATTGTCTTCGTCGGCTTCCCTTCTTTTGTCCAATTTCACAACACTTCTCCACCCTTGCTTTTTCACAATACTCGGAGCCTCGTCTGCGGTAGCCAGCGTATTGCCAAGTTTTTTTTAATTAATACTACATCCGTCCCTTTTATATTGGTACAGAGGAAGGTGACACGATTATTAAGAAAAGTAGGTTTGTGTGGTTGATATTAATTGATAAAGTAAAAATAAAATAAAAATTATTTGGAGTCACACAAACTTTACCAAATACGGTATGAGACAATATTAGTGGGACTTCCCAGAAAGGTAAAACGGGACAATATAAGGGGACGGAGGTAGTATTATACTCCGTAATAAATACTTTGGATTGACAACCTTAGTATATGACATAAAGGAACATGTCCGATTCATTGGGTGCGGTACACATCATCATGGGCCAACATTTCTTCTCCACCACCCCTTCTGCGATTTACATCACCACATTATGAAAAGGTACTATATGCACATCCACACATATGCATACATCCCCACATGTTACATACATATATGTATGCATAATACATATATTCATGATCAAGATGTTTAAATTAAATGATTGTGCAAGCAAATAATAACCGTAATTCCGCCAGAGGTAAATAACTAAATAACATGAAGTGCACTTTAGATCTAAGTTTTCTAATAATATCAAACATCAACTAGCACTAACAAGTACGGTTATATGAAGTGTTAATATTTTCTAATAATTCCTCAAGTGCTTTTCGTGTTATATGAAGGGGACGTGAACGGTGAACCCAAAACCTTATGACCCAAAGTTCTTAATACCCTTCTTTCAGAACTAGAACTAGATGCTATATATAGACACACATACATATGTATGTATGCAAATATGCTTGTATGTATATGCATGCCTATGTCTATACACATATAATTATTCCATCCTATCTATCTACTAGTAGTCTTGTACTATGCTTTTACATACGAAACAAACTAAAAGTCGGTTGGATGTGGCGTTTCGCCACCCTCCACTGAGTGATTCTTCCGTCTTTATTTTATCTCAAACTATCATCAAATTCACAAATCTATTCTACACTTTCATTTTTATCAAAAAAAGACTCAAACTTCATGTTTTCCAACAATAGTGCTTTTCTTTTTTGTTTTTTTTTTAAATTACACATTTTTATCAATACCAATAATATATAAGCAATACAATTTTGTAAGTTTAAAACTAGAAAAAGTGAAAAAATATGAAATATAAATATAATTTTCTTCTAATTTGTACTAATTCATCCATTGAAATAAAGTGTAATTGTGAGAAAAGTTGAAGCTTGAATCTTTTTTAATAAAAGTGAAAGTATGAGATAGATTTGTGAATTTCATGATAGTTGGGGATATATTTAGCTAATACTAGTAATCCTATAATAGCATTTGTTCCTATTAAAAGAATTAAGTCAATTAAGTCCACTTACAAATTTCAATCTCAGACTTGGTCCACTTTTTAAAATTGGCCCCCTCTTAATCCATTACTATTGTCTATTGTTTCATTTCCACTCTTAACTTTACGACCTAATTTCTTACATGAATAAATTCCATTTTTAGTCTTATGAGTACTGCACCAATTCCACAATTAGGACATTTTTATTTAGACTGAATTTTTCTGGTCTGATCTGTTCTGATCTGGTAACGACTAATCTCTAACTCTCTGGGTATTTATAACTATCTAAGTTTGGTCTGGAACTAAAAACAATCCAAGTAAAAACATTCTTAGTCTAAGTCTTTAACTTTGATCACTTTTAATACATGACTATTGATTTTGGTCCATATATGGTCATTTCGTTGATATTTTCGGTGGTTAAAATCATCGGAGAGGCATTAGAAAACTAGACGAAAAGACCACAAATGATCAAGAATAAAATAGTCAAATGCCAAAAGTGTACCAAGTAAAAGTGCACTAAATAGTCATGGACCCGGGCCGGGCCGGTTCCGGTTCCGGGCCGGCCCCGGCCGGGCTTTTTTTTTGGAAAGGAAGGCCCGGGACCGGCCCGGGTAGCCACCGGGTCCGGTCCGGGCCGGGTAGCCACCGGGTCCGGTCCGGGCCGGGCCGGGCCTCCGGTTCGGTCATATTTTTTTTTTTTTTTGCTTTCCTAACCCCCCCACTCACTCCCCACCCCCCCAAACCCCTCCTAACCATCAAGCCCAACCCAACTAACCCCAAAAAATGAAAAAATAAAAAATAAAAAAAAATCAATTCGGCCCGGGCCCGGACCCGGCCGGGCCGGTTCGCCAAATACTAGGCCCGAGCCCGGACCCCCCCCCCCCACCGGGCCTAGGCCCGACCCGGACCCGGACCCGAGAACCGGGCCGGTTCCGGGCCCGCACAGTGGCGGGCCGGGCCGGTCCCGGGCCGGGCGGCCCGAACCGGGTCCATGCCTAGCACTAAATGTGTAACATAAAATTTATATGACGAAATGTGAAATTAATTCCTACGTAGTATGATTTTAAATACCAAAAATATCGTCTAAAGAACCACAAGTGACAAAGAACGATAGTTATGTACTGAAAGGGAGCAAAGTGAAAGATGGTTATCAAATACTCCTTCGGATTCAAAAACAAGTTCCACATTTGACTTCACACATATTAAGAAAAGAAATTTGACTTTACTGTGGAGTGCACTGTTTGGCACTGTTTGGACACTGTTTGACACTGTTTGGAACTGTTTTGATGTAGATAATTTGTCAAATAAAAAAAGGTTTGAAAGTGGAACTTAATTTTGAAACTGTCCGAAAAGGAAAGGTGGAACTTGTTTTTTAATCGGAGGGAGTATTAGTTAAAAATCAACAGGATAATACATGGGCTTCAACAACATACTAATAATATAATTTATAATCATCATTATGTCAGCGAAGTGGATGGGCCCGAATAGAGTAGCCGAATCAAGACAACACTTTACCTAAGATATCGTGAAAAGCCCACAATACTGGAAATCATCCAACCTTTACATAGTTTCCCAGATCATGTCAAAGTGATAAATCTTCTTATCATGCACATTATTATCACACTTTACACGCCCACACTGACAAACATACACCCACACACACAACACACGTTTCTTGGGAGGACAGCACCCAGAGAATTACTACCGCTAAATGCAGCAACCCCACACAAAGAATAAGGGGAAATTTGATGCCAAGATATTTGGAGATGTGAAAGTATTTATACATTTACAAATATAACCGGAAAACCTATAAATCAAAACCACTTAAAAAACTAATTTCATCAAATGAAAAAATAAAAAAACACAGTGCAGTACATTCCTAGAGTCGCCTGACACTGTTAACTCTTTAACTAACAAGCAGCTTTGTAATACTAATTGATCACTGTTGCTTGAGCGTCGCTTTGGTTAAGGAACGGAGTTGTGTTGGTTGGTTGAAGTTAGAGGATCAATCATCGTAAGAAGCAGTCAGAGAGATGTGACGGTTTGCACTTCTGTTGTTGAGCCAGATAGGTTGCGCTTCGGCTGCAACAGATGTGTCCTTAGACTACAATGCTTCACCTGTTTATTTTTTTCTCTATGTTAGCAATAAACTTCATATTTCTAACTCTGCAGATTACATGATAACAAAATATCACTACAGTTTTACAGTGCTGCTCACTTTCTAAAGTCGAGCTAGGCAGTGGTCAATTAGGCGAATATAGTTGGTTTCCAATTCAACCTATTTGCGCCGTTCAGTTCTAATGATATCATTTGATGATTAATTATTCATGATCAATCCAAATTTCGCAAAAAAAACATAGTTTCGAATGTATATAAACTATCTATCTCCATAACTAAGATTACAAACCTTCATTTTCTTTTAATTTTCTATAATCATTTATTACTTGTTACTTTATAACAAAATATACTCATCATTTAAGAACCATATGAACTGTTTTTATTACCAAAAATAGAAATAATTAATAAAATGATTATATGAATAATAAAAAAAATAAAAATCACTCCCCAGGCAGTCTAGATGGCAACAGCCCACCGCCGGCAGTGGCGTATCTAGCGTGGGGGCAGGGCGGGCAGCTGCCCCCACTCAACCCCCACCTTACACCATTATATATATATATTAAATTTTATTGTTTACATATATCATTGTTTTATATATAGTATAATAACGCTTAATGTCCAAAATAAGCAAAACTAGCGTAGTAGCTAACTGGTTTCGGCGCTAGTTCTCCTCCTATATGGCAAAGGTTCGATTCTCCCCAGCTCCACTGCTCCCTTTTTCTTACTCCCTCTGTCCCATTTTATAAGATATCTTTACTATTCACTTGGTCAACACAAATCACTCTTAATCTCTTACTTTATATATCAAAATTTTATGAAATTTTAATTATTTTTTGCAGGTTTTGTTGCAGTTTTAATGTAGTTTCTGAATATGTATCTTTTTTTTCTAAAGATAATTTGAGCGCAGACAGGGATCCGTTTGCTTTATCGTCGGTCAAACATCGTAAACCGAAAAGTATCTTATAATTTGGGACGGAGGGAGTAGGTCAACTCAAAATGATACTAGACGATATATAAAAAACTCAAAATGATACTCCGTACTAATTTTAATAACATCTTTTATATACAAATTTGGTTTTGTACTTAATAAACTATAGAATGTTTAAACATAAGATCCATATATATTAATTTAAAATAATTTATTTTAATGTAATTTCAATCACACCTTTTCGCACTTAGTATTAAATCAGACTTGCTTATTTGTAACTTAAATTAGTTATAAACTTATAATTAAATATTTCATCTGTTTCTTAAAAAAGTTATTTTATTTTTAATACATTGTGGATTTTTTAATTAATATTTCTTTCCTAAAAATTGTGTGATAACGCTAGTGTAAATTTGCCCCCACTGACCGAATTTTATGGATACGCCACTGACCGCCGGACTAACATCTAACGCTGGTATTACTTGTTCCTCTTAGCTTACATTTGGAACAAGGAAAATGGTAGGGATGAGGGGAAATATCAAGGAAAATGGTTTCATAATATTCCAGTTTACCTACCCTTGGAAGTATGAAGAAAAATCAAATATGATTAAAACTTTTTAACATCTATACATATTTAGTCATTTAGATGTCTTAGTCTTTCTATATTCGAAAAATATTAATAAAATGAGATTCACCAAATATCTAAAGTTGATTACTGAGTCAGAATCTATTTTCTCCTAAAAAAATCCTTCCGAATTTCTTACATCTTTCCTCTCAGTTTTCTTTCCCTGTCATTTTACAGTTTCCATATGAACCCTAACAGAGTCTATTTGAAATGATAAGCTTTATATATGCTAGATCTTTAGCTACGTGTAGAATGAAATACATGGGTACCTGAATTGCTGCCACCATGGACAAGAGCTCTTTACATTTATCAAGTGAAGCACACTCTAGGGAAGCTGTATTAGATAGCTCATTTACCAATGCATTTGTGTGTTCAACCTGTTAGTTGGCAAAATGCATTAAAATTTGAACAGGTAATCCAACTCAAGACATTTACCACTGAGGATGGCTAGTGTTGCCTAATGTCTTAGGATTGCCACAACAAGAAAATGTCTCTTCACAAGAAAAACAAACACTACTTCGCAACCAACTCTTCATTTATATAGATCATTTTACCCCTTTGAAGGAATAACAAGTCCTCATATCAACTCAAAGTTTAACATATTACGCATCTATTAACAAAATCTAATATGAGATCAAGGCTATTGAGATCGTGCATTTCTAATCCAGTAGAAAATCAAACATTACTGGATAAAAAATATCACAAGAATTCAAATTTACAGGTGTTCATCTTGAACCCTATTTTTTTTTTGTCCCAAAAAACCACCTTGAGGAGTGGGGTAAACGTCGGGGACATTTACCTAATTTATTAAATGCTGATAAATCCTTCAAGATTACAATGTAAAGGAGTAGTGAAATACAGAAAAGCGGATTAAGATTGGGCTATATATACTACTAGTACAACAAAATGATTAAAAAACATTTTGTTCTATTTTTGCTTGAATAAAGTTCTAATCAAATTTGTTAGGATCAATAACCCTTACATGGCACTTCTTAACTAGGTTCTTTTTATTCGTGATTACAGTCTACTAAATCAAATATTTTTGTGTCTACTTTTATTCTCAGGGTTACAGATCTAAATATACCAGTATAAAAAGGCTAACATGAAAGCAATTGGGCACCTTGGTATTAAAGGCAATAAACAAACTTCCGTGAAAGGAAATCCAAAATGTGCATATTTGATTTGTTTACTTTAAGAACGGAATAACCTTAGGAAGCAGAGAGCATATTGAAGACGCCATTGCTTGCATCACATCAACAGTTGAGCAGATGGCTTCTTTTATCTTTTGAATATCTGCCTGCAAATAGAAAAATTCAGAAAAAAAACTTAGCGATAGGTTTTCAAGGAGGGCCTCGTATTCTGAAAATATTGGTGTGTGAAAGGAAATGAAAACGACAAGTCCTTTGACATGAGATTTGTTTTTTAAAGATGTACCCTAGCACCATCAACAACAGGTAGGCGAAGAGTGCTAGCCTCCAAAGCACATATAGCAGCTGACAATGAACTGGAATGCTCTTCATCAATGTGATCCCAACTTTCCAAACCAGGAACCTATATTCAATTCAGATTAATTAGAATTTAGTAAAGGCCAATTAAAGTTCATCAAAATACAGTATTTTGTTTATATTTTTCTGTTAAAGATGCAAATATTATTAAAACAAGTTCTCGTAAAATTATTTCCTTTTATAATTTTACATAACCACAAAAACTTTTAATGAATGTCTTACTTGTTGCTTGAAGATGGAATACAACTTCAAATTGAGCTTCAATAGAAGCAGTTCCGTTTTTTTGGATCTAACAGAATGGCGTAACTTTGAAGTAGCCAAAAATGCATTGTATAGGGCACTCTGGAGCAAAAGGTAAGAGTGAGGTGATATACAATCAAACTGAAGGACACAACTTAAAGATGCTATCAACAAATGGATCCAGTGATCAATCATCATTTACACGAGTGCCGCAAAGGCTCCCACCTACGGTGGGGTAAGGGGGGGTTGGATGTACGCAGTCTTACCCCTGTACTAAAGCACAGAGAGACTGCTTCCGGATGACCCATGATGAAAATCGCGTCCAAAATTGCATGGAATGACTGCTGCTTCATAACAAAGAAGAGATGACAGTTTGGTGAACCATTTTGCTTTATTCCATCATATTATCAAGCAAAAAAAATAATGAATCTTTGGCTCCATTGCAAATGATGGAAATAAATGGATCCAGTGATAATGCAATAAAATTTCTTAACAAATAGGTTGTCAACAACAGATGGGATTCGAGAGATGGAATCACGAGTTGCCTTCAATTTTTCATTGAGCAACTCAATAGTCATGCCGATGAACCAAATTTTCTTTCCTAAAATAGCTTAATTAATATGACAACCACTAGAAAATCATCTAATATGTTAAGATTCAATTTAAAATAGCTCTTGAACTACACAATGAAAGTTTTATTATGATGGAAGTTTGCCTCATTTTTTCCTTCTGATGTCCAAATTTCATGTCCGACAACTCCAAATTAAAAACAGACAGCTGAACAGAAATCCTCATTGCAGAACACAAATTATTTGATCAGAAAATAAAGTTTCCATCATGTACCAATTATGCATTCCTAAAGCTTTATTGCTTCCTCTTCCTATATGCAGGATATGTATGACTTGAAACCTGTATATTAATTATGGCATGTTTAGAGCTCACCTCAGCATTTTGTGCATGTACATAACAAGCTACCTCTGCTCTTGCATTGACGAAGCACCATTGCAGGTGCCGATTATACAATAGCCTCAACTCAAGTGCATCAGCAACCCGATTCTCACCCGCCTTCCCTTTCCCGATGATATCAGCAGCAAAGCTCAAAGTTGAAGTAGGTGTGCCATTTAAAGTATTGGTCACTTTAGACACATCACCAGTTCTTGTTCTGGTTGGACTTGGCATCCCCCTCAGAGGATAATTAGGTGTCATAGGTAACGCCTTACTGGGAGAAGCAGGTCGAAGACGAAGAGGAGACGAAAATCCTCGACTGGTAGGTGAGAAGACTTGCTTTTCATTTGCATATTTCTTATTATGAATCTGCTTCAAAGGAGACATTGATTTATAAACATTGCTTTTCGATTCTGGTGTGTTTTGCTCTGGGGGTGTTAGAACCTTGCCCAGTCTTAGGCTTAGATGAGCTACAGAACCACCTTCGTGCCCACTTGAAGCACTCCCTGATGAGATACTTTCACCATCAGAGGCTTCACAGACCAAACCAGAACCAACCTTCCTCTGTGGCTTAACATTCAAACTTTCAGATTTTGGTTTGCCCTGAATTCTGGCTTGGTTATTCTCAAAACAAACTGGAACTACCCTTCTGGATCCAAATCCAAATCCATCATTACCACAATCCAAGCTCTGAGTTAAGAAACGTGAATTTGGTTTTAACCTTCCAGGCCACCTCATTTGATCACTAGGCTTTGGGTTATTAATTCGATCCTTAGCAGCAGGGGACTGTACTGTTAGTCTCCTCTCCGGTGTACCCCTCTTAACCTTACTAAATGGCAGCGGGAAAGATTCTCTCTGAAAAGACACGGACAAACTCTTGGTAGACGTGGTCAGCAGCAGCTTAGCAGCCTCAGACATCTCCGCCCTCACGGGCGTTCCCGGCCTGCGCCTGTCCGCAGACAGAGACCGCTTAACAGAAGCTGCATTCTGTATGGGCTTCGCCGCCGGTCTCTCCGCCCTCGTCAATACCGACGATCTATCCTTCCTTGAGGAAACGGAGTATGACGGCGAAAATGAACTGGATGAGTTGGAAGATGACGTAGTTGAGGTAGAAATGGTTGGCAGAGAGCTCGACTGGTACCGTGAAGTAACCTCTCTGGATTTCGGTTTTCTCGCAGTTCCATTCCCAGCTTCGGACGGCAAAAATGTCTGCCTCTTCTGATTCTGATAGTTCACTTTAGGGTTTGGCGTTTTAGTCGTCGACACAGCACTCAACACCATTCTACTCCCTCAATCCTCACATCTCTCTCACTGATTTCTGTCGTTACAATCTCAATCTCACAATCCAGATGCTAACTTAAAGCAGATTTACAGTATTTCACAAATCAACAATCAAACAGGGTATATAGTTTAAAGTAGATTAATATACGCAAATAGTGTGTATGAAGTATGAAATGGAATTATATTTAGAGAGAAAAGACGCCGGAAATGTGACCGTTACGCGTGGCCGGAAGGGAAAAGTTATCGGCGGAGAAGAAGAAGGAAGAAAGCGATCGAGAGATTTTTGGAGTGTAACTGTCTCGAGCGAGACAAACGGAGGCTGGAGAGTAAAGTTCCGGTGACGTGTACGCTGCTGTAGCATTTATGGCTTGTACCATCGCGCAGAGTAGTTGCACCTTGTTCCCGGCAATAACGGATGATTCCGGTAATGTCTAACGCTCGAGCGTGGGAGTGAAATGTACTCGCTTCTATTAGTGCTCGTTTGAGCGCGTGAGTGGGGATGAGGGGTAGTTGAGAGTGGGTGAAGTGGCATCTGTGCGCCACCGTGGCACCTTTGAAAAGTGAAGAGTCGTCCATTGGGACAGGCGACGGAGTAAAGAGGGATGCTGTTTTTAGGGGGGAAATTCTTGTTACACAAGAAAATTGTGCACGCTCAATTTGGTTGACATAAATAAATTTGATCGATTTTAATACAATTTTTTGTGATATCGGTAAATTTTGAGTTAAAAAATGATTGACATGATAATACAAAAAACACACAGGTTTCAGTTATTTTTTGCAGAAATTTAAAAAAATCATTAAAAAGTTGGCATGAATATGCCAAACTTGTGTCTTAAAGCAATTTGCACGGGCTATTTGACACGAAATGATTCATAAATTTGTGTCAAATCTAAGTCAATAACGTAATTTTTTTGTAGTGACGAGTAATTTGTTCATACTAAGATTTGACCAAATTTATGTATGATACAAAAAATGGAGTGTATGAATTCGTTTGGTAATATTGAAATTTTATGAATCAGTTAATTTTGCTGAAATTTATGAAGTTCTGGTTGAAATGATTGAATTAGTTGATTCTGCTAACTTATATAAATTATATTTAAATACTTTTTATTAATAATATAAAGAAAAACTTATATGAAAATGATGTTCTATAGTAAATTTGGTCAATACAGTCAAAAAAATAAATTCAACTTAACTTTTTCGTTATTATTATTACACAATTCAGCGTACGAAATTAAAAGTTACGAATACATATTTAGTGAAAAAATTGATGGATAAGTCTGATAAATTTGATATCCTATTAGTATATGCTACGTAGTATGTTTATTTAATGGTGAATTTGGTCAATCTTGAGGAGGACGTTACGTTAATGACAAACCAAATTAGATACTTTAATCACGGCTAATACTTTAATCACGGCTAAGGAAATGTCTCTTTCAATCTGTCGCCATTAAAACTTGAAACATGCGAGATTTATAAGACGATTGCTTGTGGAGTAATACATCCGTATTATTTAAGTGAAATGATTGAATGGTTTAATTTGCTACACTTTTCTTAAAAATAACGCACTCTTTATGTTCATAACTAATTTACGTGCAAATTAAAATTGTCATTAGCAATGGGTTGGTAAATTGAGTCCGTGCATAACTTGTACGTAGTATCTCTGTTCTAAAAATCGTTCCAGGTGCTCGACTAGTCTCCGCCTAGGCGCTAGGCGGTGGTCGGGCACCCCGATTTTCGTCTAGGCACACCGACTAATTGGTTTGCATTCTAGGTGAATTAGTCAGTCACCTATGGCGCCTAGTTGCCCGCCTAGAATGCCTAATCGGCTGCCTGGGCTGTCTAGATTCGCCGAACATTACATCACTTTTTTAATTTTAATTTTCTAAGCGATAAATGTACTTTAACTTTAGCCATGGATATATGTACTGTAACTATATGTGTTTGTATATATACCTAAATTTTATCATTATTTATATTTATAACAAAATGAAGTCAAGTGATTAGTTATCATATACTATGTATGATTAAATGTGATAATTCTATTATTCATGTATGTTAATGTATGTATATATGTATTTTACATACACAAAAATACATTATTATTTATCATATTTATGCAAAAATATAGATAAAATGCAATTTTTATATCTCCGACTAGTCCCCGACTAGGCGCTCGCCTAGCCGCCCACCTAGCCGTCTAGGCGCTAGGCAAGCCGCCTAGGCGCTAGGCGCTGGGCTAGCGCCCTACTAGCACCTAGCACCTTTTCGAACATTGTCAAATTTGCTTCAATCTCTAGTTTCTGAGTCTCTTTATTTCATTGATCATTGTCACAACAAGTAGCTTACCGAATTAAGGGAGATTTCAACAAGTAGGAGCAAAACGTAAGGATTTTCCAAAACTAAGATCGAAGATTAGTGTAAGACTCAACTACACCTACATTGACCACAATACCCTTACTTTTAGAAAATAACAGACATTAAATAGACAATAAATAGACAATAAGTAGACAATAAACTTCCCCTTACCCTTCCATCCATGCCGCCAGCGTCACACTGACAGAGCCATCCCCGGTGGTCACCGCCAGTCACCACCACAAGCCACCCGCCCTCACCCCCAACATCCAGCCACCCCCGCCCTCACCCCCAACATCCAGCCCTACCCCCCTGTCCCCAACCCTCCTCCCCTGCTCCCCATCCCCGCCCCTGTTCTTCCCCCATGTCCTTCTCCAGCCAGTTCGCACAAACCTCAGCCATAACACCACCACCGGCGGCGGCGGCGGCCCCAAATCGGACCCCAACAGCAGCGGCCCCGAATCGGACCCCACCTGCAGCGGCGGTCCCCAATCGTTCCCCAAATCGGACCCAAAATCAGAGTATGGCAGATCCGGCACCGGCGGCGGCGTCTGGCAACGGCAGCGACGAGGTCCTGCGGAAGAAGCTAGGTTGGCGGAAGTTTTTTGGCCTGAAGGGCAAATTTAGAAAGTTAGAAATATGTTTCCTAATCTAGAACTAAATAAGTAATATGAATGAAAAAAACATTAGTAGGTATTGTTTTTGTAAAAGAGCTATGATTTGGTCCTATTATAAGCAAATTTCTCCCGAATTAATTGTAATTTGTACAGAGAAGTAAAAAAATAAGTGTGATATTGATATTTCCTATTAAAATTTTATTTTCAATTTTTTATTTTGAGACACGTAAATAAAAATTGTCACATATGATGTCTATGAGATTATAAACACTGGTCACATAAGCTTAAAATTATTCAAACTCTAACCAACATATAGTCTTCTTCCAAAAATAAGACCATATGTTTGGTTTTTAAACTAGTCGGTCCTATTTTTGGAAACAAACTATGTTTTAGTCCTATTAAGATAATAAATCTCCCCAGATTTTTTTCACCAACCATTCTTGTACCCTTTTATTATGTAAGTATATAACTTCGCAGGCAACAATGAGCAGTCACAATGCGGTACTAGTCTACATCATTGCAGGGTTAGCGAACATGTCGCCCGTCGTCTGGGGCGACCGATCGAGGGAAAGAAGCACCAAGATCTTTATAGGTCTTTTTTGTTCTTTTTCTCACCCTAGTGTACAGTTGAATGCTTTGTTTGTAATGCTTCGGCTATTGATTGTTATGTTTCTTGATATTCTTATCAATAATAATAAGTTATTTATTTAAAAAAAAAAAAAGAAATCTTCGTTGGTAGCAAACCTCCGATTGCCGGAGTTGTAAATTATACTTCGTACACTTTTATTGTATTCAATGTAGTCATTTTAAAGCAACAGTAGAGCCAAGAGGGGGTCATGGTGGTCAGCCAACTCCCCGATAGTTCGAGAATATAAGGCATCAATATATCTTCAATTCGTTTTGATATATACGGCACTCATAACTTATTACGAGTAAAAAGTTATAATTCCTGAAAAATCGGCACTATCTAAACTTGAAATGAGTAAAATATGATGTGTTATATTGATGATATTCTCAAATTTTAAAAATAACATGTAATTCACTCAATACGTACGTGAAGTGTATATCTCTCTCTCACATACACACACACATATAATATGTAACTATATTACTCTTATTCAAACTATCATTTATCTAAACTACATATGAAATATTCATTAAGATATTGTTTAAAAAATATTTACTCTATATTTGGTTATATGATACTTCGTACATGAGAAATGCATGCAAGTAGCCATAGAGTTGACATAAAGAAGATCATTTTATTTATACTACCTATAATATTACAGCTATTCCAAAAGTATGGCATCACTTTAAATTGTTTTCCTCTATAAAAAGTATTGTTTATATTGAAACCCAAATCCATGTTCAGAGGGCAATTCACATCAGGATCTCCTGAAGAGAAGCCCTGTGCGGACAAGCCCATCAGAGGGTCCTCCCGGCTGAATTTTTTGATGAAATTTTTTGAGCATGTTCCTCATCAAGTCTAGTTTGTTCATACCAAATTTCAGCTCAAAATTCGATCGCGAAGGCAGTCAAATAAATCCTGCAAAAATATGGCGCATTCTGCGCACATATAATGTGCAGTATGTTTCCAGGATTTATTTTACTGCCTTCCCGATCGAATTTTGAGCTGAAATTTGGTATGGGCAAACTAGACTTGATTAGGAACATGCTTAAAAAAATTTATAAAAAATTTTCACCAAAAAGACCCTCTGATGGGCTGGTCCGCAGGGAGCTTCTCTACAGGAGCTCCTGATAGGAACGAGACTCTCCATGTTCATTTACTCTATGTGATGTGGGCCTACAATGGATTGTACCTCACCATATCATACGAAAGTGTATGTATCTGAGCATCTGATTGCGTTCTATTCTCATTTTAGAATACATATGCATATACACACTCAAGAGAGGTATCAAAGGATTGAAGGTAGGGTGTTATCAAATGAGCTTGTCATATTGAAAATTATGCACACCGGGTGCTTTAAATATAACTATCACGTAATATTCTAATTCACCGGTCACGTTTTATACCATATTCAACAAATGTGAGGATATAAATAATGTATTATACTAGGTATTAATTAAAATATTAAATAATGAATGTCAATAGCTTCTCTTCTAATTTGAAATATAATTATATGTATATAATTAAATGTACTCCGTATATAATTATTTATTTATGATCGTTGAACGCAATGACCTGTTGAATCCAGCTTGAGCTGTGACCTGGTAATTTGAACGAGGTGATTTCTAGTCCAATTCTTACAACTTAGTGTTGACCGGGATAAAAAATCACATATGCCACTCATCTCAAATATTTTGTTCAATTTTTGTAATTAAGAAAAGCAACACTTCACAGTCTTCACTACTTATAGATCAAAGTGGTTTTTTCAAAAACAAGGCAAATACAATTTTGTATTGATCGATGATAAATATCTAAGACATTCCAATATCTCACTGTAAAATGGGATCTAGAGACTCATTCTACAAGACTACAACGATGAAAATGTTTCAGGTTGTTGGATATCTAAACTGTAAACCTCATAAGTGAATTAGTCCAAAATCTTATTTAGTAGTTTAATAATTTACCATTAACAACAAACAACATTTCATCGTAATGTGTTAAATTTAAAAAGAATTTATTTATCACCATTATCAGTCATACCAAATTAAGTTAATAAATTTGATTAAAATCCAGACATGTGTAGAAAAAGCTTGGTTGACACCGATATACAACTGCGCTTTACGAAACAATCCATAGGGTGGCCACAAATCCACAACCATAAAAATAAAATAAAAGAAAGAAATACCAGAATAGCATCCACACCAAAACACAATTCTTACAAAAATACTTTGGGGTATACGATACTCAGTCCTCCCCAATTTGATATCCATTATCAGGCAGGCAGAAAATAAGGTAAGGTTTGAGTTCAGTGGCACTCGACCATGAGAAATTTGCCCACCTCGTGAAAAATGAGTAATAAATTTGTGAAGTAGTTGATACATGTGGGAACATATAAAAGGATATTTCTTATTGCTAATATTGAAGTTATTTTGTAGAAAGGTAGGGTAATTAGACGAAAAGATAAACTAAAACTGTTAGGACTTTTTCTGGTGACCAATCTAGTTAGATGTATTTGTATTTGTGTAGTTGTTAGTTAAATGTGTAATATGGGCCACAATTGAATATTAGCCCATTAGCCTCTCTTGTAAGCCATAAGTTAGCCATCCTCTCCTATAAAAGGAGGCTAACTTATGAGAAAACCTAGCTAAGGCATTAGAGCATAGAGGCAGAATAGAGAGAATACATTCAGGCTGCTCTCTCTCTCTCTCTCTAGAGGGAGAGCAGCGGCCATTACACGATGTACCAAATTTCCGTTCAATCTATCTGCTTCTTCTTTCATTCTATGATTGTATGATTGTTAGAAATAGGGATCAACATGTGGTATCAGAGCCGAGGCGTGAAATAGATTGGATTCATCTGCGTTTTCGGATCTGCAAAACTGATTTCTCGAAGAAAAACCACCCATTTTGAAAAACTGATTTTTCGAGATTTTTGGTTTGGCTGATCTGTTTTCAACGATTTTCTTTGATTTCTGGAAGATTAGGATCAAAATCTGTTTGAAAACATCCTTAAAATCTGTTTCTGAAGTGTTTTTGAAAATGGAGTTTTCGATGTTTTGTTGTTTTTGCAACTTTTCGATACTCAAGGATTTCGACGTTTTGGAGTTTCTCGATGTTTAGTATATTTCGAACTCTGGCTTTTCTCAAAACTCAGGATTTTTCGAATCTTGATATTTTTGGCAGTTTTCAAAACTTTAACAGCATTTTTCGATGTTTACAGATTTTCAATGATTAAATAAGTTTTCGAAATTCTGAAGGTTTTCAAAGGAAGTTTTCGATGTTCTGACCTTTTTGAAAAGGCAAAGTTTTCGATATCCTAAACGGGTACGAAACTCTAAAGTTTTTGAAGTCTTGAGCTTTTCGATGTTAATCTTTGATATCATATTTCTCGCAGATTGCAGGTCGAAAACAGGTTTCTCGCAGCTGATATTCGAAAACAGGTTTCTCGCCATTTGATGTTCGAGAACAGGTTTCTCGATATTTGAACTCGAAAACAGGTTTCTCGCGGATGAACTTCGAAAACACGTTTCTCGCAGATTGAACTTCGAAAACACGTTTCTCGCAGCTTGTACTTCGAAAACATGTTTCTCGACATTCAAATACCGAAAAAGAACTTTTCGATATTTGATATCGAGAAAAAGTTTTCGATATTCAAACATCGAGAAAAAGTTTTCGATACTCATTCATCGAAAAAAAAGTTTTCGATATTCGTTTATCGAGAAGGCGTTTTCGATATTCAAATATCGAGAAGATGTTTTCGATACTCAACATCGAGAAGATGTTTTCGATACTCAACATCGAGAAAAAGTTTTCGGCATCCAATATCGAGAAAAAGATCTCGAGATTCAACTACGAGAACCTCACTTTCGAAAAGTTCTAAAAATTTTCATTTTTCAAACTTTTCGATGTCTTGCACTGTTTTGGCCATAACTTTTGACTCGGTGATCCGATTTACGCGTATAATACCTTTTGGGAAAGCTCGTGAAAAGATCTACATGAATTCTAGGGGGAACCCCAGAACCCAATCTCACGCTCCCTCACTCGCCGTTTTTGAGGGAGATATCACCTGTTTTCCGAAAAATCACCAAAGTCAAAGTCAAGGTCAAAACTGAGGCAAATCTGGTCAATTCTTCCAAAATCAAACCAAAGTCAAACCAAATGTCAAAGTTGGTCTAATCTACATTGTAAGGTCCGGAACTCGTAGATAATTCAATCAACCTCGCGTCAACGGTCATTTCACAACAATCAACAACCAACTACTGATGTCTCCCCTAACTCATCAACAATGTGTGATCATCACTGTGCTGAAATTCTAGACGATGAGTTCAGGGTAAACCGTCATGTGTGGTACCTGTACAGATTGCTCCATACACATGGAAGGTATTTCAAGCTGTGAGCAATCAAACCTTGCACAATCTGAGGGGGAGTTACATTTTTCTCCTTTTGGCGCCACACAATGACAAAGCAAGGATTCTCTCAAAGGATGCAACATTTGAGGGGGAGTTCTCAATTTTATCCTCCTCGGTACCGAACGATGAAAAAGCATACCGAGTGCTTCAGTTGAGGGGGAGCACAGAGAGAAAATAAACAAAGGAATGAGAGAGAAATGAGAGAGAAGTCCTGATGGCTTAGTAAACCCAACTAAGCCTACCCAACGGACAAAGCCAAGATTAAGCGAGTGAATGAATGAGTGAGTGAACTCTATGAGCGTTAGGAAGCAGTAGGCTCAATTGAGCAAGAGAACAATAATCAATGATAAGTCTGCTACCTCAACTGCCTGCTATCAATTGATCATTTACTCCCAGTCACTCAAATACTCTGGACAATCCCCATAGGTTCAGGACTGAATTTATTCAGATCCCGGGTAGAAGTCACTGCATCTTGTCCAACAGTGCATGCATAACCCTACCCAAGACCACTCATTTGTCTCCCAACAGACAAGTGTTTAACCATATTTCACGGGGAACCTCATCTCTCATTACTGTCTCCTTCCGAGGCAAGTGATACTGACTACAGTGGCCTCAGCCCCATGCC